TTTTATTTCTTGTTTCTTGTGGTCTTTCCTTTGGGTGACTCACTTGTGGTTTTTTCAATTGCATAGTTATTCTTGGAAGTTCAATCAATCTTTCATGTAGATTTTTTTATTAGTGAAGATATAAAGTATTAAAGTTCAACTAATAATTGTATAAAGTAGATATAAGCTATTAAAAGAAAATGGAACTATAGGTGATATTGAAATAAATTGATTAGGAGTATTTACTTAGTAGTATTGAATTTGAAAATCATTAATTGACAAAACATCTCTTCTTTTTAATAATTTTTTTATTTGATACTTATATAATAGGACTAATGTATTTATCATTGTTATTGTGTATCATGGATATATACTTATTGTAATTATTACTTAAATAATATGAATAGATAGAAGTAGATAAAAGTAGATTAATTTCATAATACCTTCTAGAAAATCTTTCTAGAAGCTTCTTAGATGTTGTTTTGACTTTACATATGTTTATAGTTGATTCGTAGGTTAAAAACTTGGTCAACAAGCTAATCATATGCCACATGTATTGGTAGCTTGTCGAACAAGCTAACTATATGGCATCTATATAGAAAACTTACTTAGAAGTCAAGATATGTATCATGCAAAGTCAACATGTTTTTGGAGGTCCTATAGAACATTGCCACATAGATCTTAGGTAGATAGTATATATAGAGGCAAGAGTAAAGCCTTCTTCACTCTTATCAACTACTTTGTTGCTTCTAATCTAGATTCAAGAGTCTCTAGTTTTCTTATCTTTTGGCAATAGTCATTCCAGTTTTCTTTTAATATATATGTACTTTTTTATTTCTATTTTGTCACTATTTTTTTGACATGGATTTCATAGGTTTATGCATCTTTTTTTACTTCATGTCTTTGACATTGTGCAAGAAAAATTATATTTATCAATTTCTATTCTTGCTTATTTATATTTTTGAAGGACAAGATTAAGAGCATGTAAAGATACAAATTTAATAACATTGGTGAAGAAACAAATATTGTATTAATGAGCAATATGGATTTGTTCTGAAATTTCTTAAATCTTCAATTCTCTTAATGTATTCTAAGAAAATTAAGAAAGAGATTTGAACTTTTCTAAAATCTTTAGTAGAAACTTTTAAATAAGATTTTAATGTTGAATATTAATCCTCTACTTATGATGTAATAAAACTTTTGACATAAAGTAGATTATTTATCTAAGCTTTAACAAATCTCTTTTTGTGTAGTATTCAAATATTCTTTAAATATTCAAAAGCTAAATGAGCAACACTAGAAATATACTTTTTATAAAGATTAGTCGACTCCAAATTAAAAAGCTCTATAGAACATGAATGAATAACAATGGTCTAATCTATAAGAAATGAAGACCATTCTAACTCTATTTTGTTTAAAAAATATTTTTTGTAATTTACAAACATATTTTTTTGTATGTGCCAAATCTAGAGTAATACATTTGAAGTGAAAAACATTAATTCAATGGCATTAATTAATTTTAGATCCCTATTACCACCTATGCAAATATATTGTCGTAATATGTGAAGTCTTGTTTGAAAATGCTCCGAGCACTTGGCTATAGAAGAAAAAATAGAAATTACAATAACAAAATCTTAATTCTAATAGAATACTAACAATGCTCTAATTAGACTATAATAATGCTAAGCAAGCTTAATCAAATTCAAAAAAACCTCAAAGAAATTTCAAACAAACAATAAGAATTCTAAAAAAAATATTAGAAAGAACACAAATATCATTCAAATACATCTCAATTCAATCTTAATTTAATTCTAGTTAAAATCCTATTGAACTTCATTCAAACTTTAGGCCAAAACTAATTTAATCTTAAATCTTAATAAAATCCTAAATCCTAAATCAAATCCTAAACAAACCTTAAATAAAATCCTAACCAAACCCTAAATCAAACCCTAATCAAACCCTAATCCAAATCCTAAATCCTAAACCAAATCCTAATCCAAATCCTAAATCCTAAATCAAATCCTAATCCAAACCCTAAACCCCAAACCAAACCCTAACCAAATCCTAAACCAAATCCTAATAATTCCTATAATAGATTTAAACCTCAAAAACTAATGAATAAATCGTTGATCTTAATTCAAAATTTGCACACTTCTAAAAAAATAAGTTAAAAACAAGCACAAAAAAATTGATAAGGATCGGATTTATCAAATTGACGATAACCTCAAAAATGTGTTTGGGTATTGGCCGGCCTCCTTCTCCAATCTTGATGCCAATCTTCGAGAGCTAATATCTCTCCTTTTCAATGTTTTATTAATCTCAAAATTCTCATACATATAGAAAAATAAGTCTAATATTCTCTTACATAAGTTTCACTCTAATCCAATCAATTTATTGCAAGAAATCTCAAAAATCCCCACTAGACCTAAAATTCTACTTTCTGAGACCTTGACCTACTTAAACCTCAATATCCCTCAACTCATTTGTTAGATCAAGCTCAAATTCACAATACATATTAAACACAACTATAACCATAAATCCACAAAATTTTATTTGTAGATCTACTACAAAACTCTTGAAATCACCCAAACGTAAACCCCATTTTATTTCATAAAACCCAAGTCATCCGAAATAGACCTTGACTTTGCAAAGCTCTTATAAAGTCATATCAACTCTAAATCACCCAAAATTAATATTCATAGAAAGCCTATTTAGTCTGCTATCAAATATCACTCTTTGATCTCCAAAAGAACCCTAGAGTCGTCGTTGAGACTCAGTTTTGTGCCCTAGGATCTAATTTCGACCCTGGTTCATAATCGGCCCTCTTCGGGTATCAATATCTAGTTTTTCTAAGTAATTTTTTCTAGAATTTACTCTTAACTTCCTTTTAAAGATGCTTATATCATTTATTTTTCCAATCTACTTTGATTTGCCTTACTTATGGTGCTACAAAGTAAGTAGAAGTCACCTTTCTAAAAGGCAGTATTGGCATCTTTTAATTTTTCTACCCCTTTGACTATTAACTATATTTCTAAGATAATTTGTTTTAATACTTTGAACTAAGATCTCCTAAATTATAATAATCTCTACACTCTTTCACCAATTAATTATGTTACATCACGATAATGTCAAATTTCTCTATATACTTTTTGAAGTTGGATTAATGCCCAACAAAAGAAGGATTCTATTTCTTCTTGGAAAATAAACAACAATAATAGTAAATGAATACTGAAACTTGTCATCCCTACAACATATAATATTAGCATTCTAAATCTATTTGTTTTGTATGTGCAATCCATGACAGTAGAGAAATGACACCTTTTTGTAAGTTGAATATAATCCAATTGTATAAAAAATAAAGAAATAACTTTATCCTCCTAATGACAATAATAAGTAAAATAGTAATTAGCTCTTTGTAAAGTTTTCATAAGACATATAATAGGTGATTGTCTAGCAAGTCCAATGCGATGTAAATTTCATCACTTATTATAAATAGTTCAAGCAATGACTTTGCTATTAATATCTCTCTCATATAAGGCAACAATTATATTTTTTGATGTGATACTTGTAGCTAGCAATCATGAAGTTAGTTCTTTTTTGGCTAGTTACAAACAACAAGCAAATGGATGGCCTAAAAGAGAAGAAGTAGCTATATAGTTATAAAGAGCATTTCAAACAATCAAATGTCATTGAGTACAACTATGCAAATGATGAGCATGCAATTCAAATAAACATTCTATTAGACAACTTGCACTATTTCATTTGTGAGTATAACAATTTTAATCATAGTAAACCTCTCCTTTGTCACATTTGTAACAAATGCAATCTTTGTCAGAGTGTTGTTTGCATATGACATAGCCTTGATTGTATATAAATTCATTAATATTACATTTTATTTTTTCTATATTTTTAAAATACCCCTTTGATAGTGCACACATATATCTCTCACCTTCCATTATAAAATTCAAAAAAATTAGAAAATATACAAATTTTTTCTCTTCTATCTACTACATACAATTTGAAAAAAAAAAAATCTACTAAAATAAGGTAAAGAAGTAAATTCATTATGTATATATTTAAAAGATAAGTATAGAAAGAAGAATAGAAAGATATTATTACTAGCCTTTGGAAACTATATCCACAATGATGATTTTGTTTATCCAAATACAAATTATGGTCTTAATAATGAAGAAGATTTGTACTATTCATATGTAAAATTATAATGATGGATGGATCGCTTTACTAAAAATTTGAGTTGCTTTATCATTTCCCTATATATATATATATATATATATGAATATGAATATTAAATAGATCTAAACTTTTACTAAATTGATCCATCTAATCTAACTATCATAAAAAAAAATAAACTCTAAATTCATTTCTCCATTATTAGATCCACAATCAATAAAAACCAACCACATTCAACATGATTACCCCATTCTTCATCTCAATTGGGTCAATTCATTAAAAACATGGGTCTAATTAACATTTCCCTCTATATTTATATATATATATATATATAGGAAAATGTTAAATCGACCCCACATGTTAAAACCATTGTTACACTCCTGTCTCCGGTGGATGTCGCGCTGCAAAACTGTTAGTTGTGCCCCGACCACAACATCAACTTTTGCATGTAACATGACAAATTTCTTTGGATTGTGTAGAAGGCGTGCTGGCTATTGTCCAGTAGGAATTGAATGTCATGTCGTCAGCTGCAGCAAACGCAACTGCAATCATCAATTAAATAAGGTTTCAAAGTGAATCAGTGAGGAATTCCATGTGGTGCAGTCCAATGCTACTAAGATTTGCCACAATTATGCTTTCACATACAATATTGTTGAAGCACACCACAACTTGCACACGAAGTAGCATTCAAACGGGCCACACAAGAAAAGGGGGGGGGATGGATGTGCACGAGAAGATTTAGTGCGCAAAAAGTCATCAGGAAAAAAAGCTAAAGGTACCTTTTGCGGAGTAAGAACCTTTCTGAGCCCCTTTGTTGCCTTGAGCTAAGCTAGGTCCAGTGTCCGCTGTTGTTGGGGGGCTTCTTCACCAAGGCTCTCTCTGTCATTCACGCCTGGGGTCAGGCAGGCAGGCCATCGCTCCTCTCCCCTGGTTCCTCCCGGTGCCCTACCAACTAGTGTGCTTCTCTTTAGTTATCTGAATTTTGTACAAGTATGTTTTGGTTTTTGCAATTTAGAGTTTCCTCTTTCTTTTTTTCTTTTTTTTGTATAAAAGAGTCGGTCGGAAGACAAGGGTTAGGGTTAGTATTGGAGGATTGAAGGTGGAGAGAAGCTATGGGGGAGGTCTGTGCGAATTGAAGTGAGCATTGAAGAGTGGTGTCGAGGTGAGGTGAGGGTAGTTGGAGGGGCGAGGAGGTATGGAGCAGGGAGAAGGGGATGGAGTGGGTGGGGGAGGTGGGGAAAAGAAGGTTACGAAGTTTTCGTTTTCTGTTGCGAAACCATCGAACCGAAGGCCCCCGCTGCCGCCGAAGGTGAAGGAGAAGGAAGCCGTCGTGGTAGAGTATGTGACAAGCGTGGATGCGGAGGCAGGGATTGTGGTTGCGAATCCTAGGGCGGGTAGTGGCGCCCGTGCGGTGCCGAAGCAGGAGAACTCATGGCGGCCGGAGAAGAGGATGAAGAATATTATGATGGAGAGCGACGCGACGAAGTCGACTGATGAAACATTCATTGTTGAGGAGACGATAGGTGCGGGGCCTAAACCTAACGTGCAATATGGACTTACGGTGATTGAGAGGGTTGAGAATTGGGATGGAGTAGAAGCGTCCGCGCCGGTGAGGCGTGTGTCGTTGAAGGAGATTGAAGATCAGAAGTTAAAGGAGGATTTGGCGAATTTGCCGGAGGAGGCGACGTTGGACCAATACGAAGAGTTGCCAGTTGAGGAGTTTGGGGAAGCGCTGCTGCGGGGAATGGGGTGGGAGAAAGGAAAGCCGATTGGTCGGAACTCCAAGACTATTGTCACAGTGCCGGAGCTTGTCAGAAGGCCAGGGACGTTAGGGCTTGGTGCAGTGCCAGTACCACCGAAAGCAACAGAGAAAAAATATATAAAGCCAGGTGAAACCCGAGAGAAAGGAAGAGCAGAGTATGTGAAGGCAAAGGGTTCAGGGGATATGAGAAGGGAGGAGAATGTTAGATCAGAGGAGCCCCGGGAGAGGAGAAGAGAGGAGAAATCACGGAAGAATGGAAGTGACGAGTACGGTAAGTCCAGAGATTCTCGAGAGACGAGGAGAGACAGAGATCCCAGAGAGAAGACGAGAGATGAGTACAGTAAATCGAAGGATTCGTGGGATCACAGAAGAGAAGAGGAGCCACGGGAACATGGAAGTGAAGAGTACAGGAAGTCGAGAGATTCTCGAAGCCACAGAAGAGACGACCACAGCGATTCGAGTGATTTTGGAGAGAGGAAAAGAGAAGAGCACACGGAGTCAAGGGGCTCTCGAGATAAACGAAGAGAAGAGTACAGTAAAAGAAGTGAACCTCGCGAGAGTAGAAGAGATCACAAGGGAAGCGATCGACGCAGTAGGTAGAAGTAGAACAGTAGGCTGTAACGGCACGGATTGGAGACGTCCGCAACCTGGAAATGCTGAGGGGTTTGTGTTTCTTAGTATTTTTTATTAGGTTTGAGCCATTGGCGACGGGTGTACGAGACGCTGAAGCTCACAATTCTGTTGTTTAGAAAGTTCGGTTGTGGAAAAATGGTCACTCCCGTCTTCATCCTGCGGTTAGGATTCACCCAATCATTTACACATCACATGTGCAACTTGTATACTGATGCAGTGGTTCAACGAACTACATGGATCAACAAAGCTTCGGTACAGTGGGATATGGGTGTACCACGTGCATAGGCAATTCTGGCGAGCTTCATGAAGATGTTTCCAAAGCGATTACAGAAAACGGTAACTTTGTCTTCTGTTTCTGGGTATGTTGACGAGTGTGTTCGAAAGAGATTCGAAGGGGACACGAATGAAATGACATGAACCAGGAGTAGAACAAAGTGTGTAAGCAATCACGTGTGGGAGTAGGAATTGCTTACGAGGGTGTAGTATGATGTTGCAATGATTATTATCAAGCAATGATAATTACACATGGTGAGTTTTGTAAAACAAATATTTTTTGATGAATGCAGAAAAAAAATTCATTACATCAATTATATAATATTATTTGATTAACTTACAAATCAAAACCAATGAGGCAGTATTTTTCATTATGAATCAATCATTTAAACCTCAAATCCCAAACAGAATTAAATCATGTTTAGAACTAATTGTTACACTATTTGAAGAAGAAGTGGAAAAAAAAAAGAAAAAAAAAGGGGGGGGGGTGTAAAATCGACCCCACCTGGTGTTATTTAGACCACACCATCTTAACTAGCAGTGGGTCCCTGTCCCCTATTCTCATCCCCAGTCTGCATCCCTTGTCCCGACCTCCCCAAATGGTTCCAAGATTGTTGGGTTATCAGCATATCACATGTATCATATTCGACAAAAACGTCCACTTGACATGGAGACAAGCATGTAGAGAGAAGTCATGAATGTCAAGTCGGATGTGGCGCTTCCAACACCAGTTTGCAGTTCTGAGGGAAGGCATAGAGGATGCTTGTGCATTGTGTGAGTTAGTTATTATGAGTTTGCAATCTCAGCAATCTTGAGCAAAGAACAAGAGTGCATCTCAAGAAGCACTTCATTCTTGCATCATTCTTAGAGTCCTTTGCAATTGCACATACCAGGTTAAGCAAGGGCTTCCGAGGAGTGACACTACTTCATTTAAAAGGATTCATGCAACATATCTTGAGTACTATGGACTGAACAAGGATTGGAAGCACCTCTTGTGGGCAAATGGAGTCCAATCTCATCAGAAAGGCAGTAAGATTAGGAGGAACTAAGTTTATCTATTATCGAGCTATTGACAAGTGGCCCCTGAGTTTGGTGAATTGCAAACATGGTGGATTCAACCATTTGTCTGCATTCAAGTCTTGGATTTATCCACTGTGAAGGGAATCAGACAATTCCATTGCGAGGTGCAGTTACAAGGGGAGTGTACAGCTTCAAATGAAGATGCTGATAACCAACAGATACCTTGTAAAGCACTTCTCTGATAACCAACAACCTCGGAAGAAAATCACACATACAGTCTGTCATTCAGGGGATCAAACAAGGGATGCAAGCTGAGAATGGAAACGAGGGATTGGAATGGGGAACAGGGACCCACTGCTGGTTATGATGGTGGGGTCGAAATAACGGCAAGTAGGGTCGATTTAACATTTCCCTAAAAATAAAGACATATGTCACTATTAAACTCACAAACTTATGATTGGTATAACAAAATCAACATCCTAGCAAATTATACTTTTATAAGATACATTTTATTTTCAAATTTTTATTCTTATCAAATTGACAAGTATGAATCAACTCAGAAAGAAATTATAAAAGCAGATGACTGTGGTAGTCAAACACTTAAGTTTGTATGTGTGTGTGTGGCATTATGGTATTATTCTTAAGCATTTAGCAGTTCGTAAAAACCCAAGGGTCACAATCACTTCTGCTTGATGGAAGAAGGTCCATCCAAAGGCACTCAACCCCTCGTCCCATGCGACACTGAGCCGATGCGGTGAGAATAGGTATGCACATGGAATACGCCAGAACGTATGTAGAGACCACATAAATACGGTCCAGTCACATGCAGCTTTTGGAAGCATCACTCCCCCATTTCTGCTAGTAGAATTGTCCATCGCCTGCCCCCGCAGACTTTCCTCTCTCGCATTCCTTTGCGGCTCCACCACGTCCACCATCTATTTCTGCAGTAGTCTCGACCATCCTCATTCGCCGCCATTTTTCGTAACATTCGTGTGAGGGAGGTGCGTTCTATTCTGTCGTCTGCCCCTCTACTGCCATTCCAATTGCGGTTCCGAGCCTGTTGTGTCTTGCCCCGAGGTTCACGGCGTTTGATGTCGGAGACGGTGGTTTCATGCGCGTGGTGTCGCGAGGACGGCTTGTGTGTTGTGTTGTCCGAGGTCGAGGTCTACTGTAGCTGTTCTGTGATGTCTGCCTTGCTGAATTGGGACTGGACGTGATGAGACTTGTGTTTTTGTGTGCTTTTCGCTACTGAGTTTGCTGTTTGCGAGTTTGTCAATAGTATGCGAGTGACTTCGGTTTGGTCCTGTGGATATGTCGCTGGAAATTCGTCGTTCGACACTTGGATTTGGGATACCCGTGGACCTAACCTGATGGAGCGTCTCCGGTGGTCGGACACCATTGGGCTCCAATTGGTCGATGAGTGGGTCTGAAAAATCCGGTACGATTCCTGTTGGAAGCGTTCATTTGGATATGTGGAGTGGGGATGAGCTTGGTGGATGCTGGTCTCTCCATCTCCGAACCAGGTTTCTGACTAGCAACGTCGTTGTTGTACGAGGGCCGTTGGCACAGAAACCTGTTGTGTTTTGTTGAAGGTGAACATGAACTGTGTCCGATGTCGGAGTTGATTTTGCGTCATCTGCTGTGGCGGAGGATTCGTGCACAACCTCCGGATTGACTTACAAGAGTTGCTCTGTTTTATGTGTATAGCAGAGGGCAGGAGCTTAGACTGCATGAGTGTCGACAGGGGAGCATCGTGGAGGCGCTTGACAACAACATCGAATGATTCTGGAGTTGAAGGTAAGCCTGCATCCGGACAGATTTCAAGGTGGTGATCATCTTTCTATTTCTTGTTCGATTATCGATTCATGTCATATCTGAGGCTGTGGCAGCAGGTTTTACAAATGAGGATGGTGGGAGACGGGTCAGTGAAAGGCTTCTCGAAGGACACGGTTTCAAAGGACCGTGGCGGGAACTCTTCGACGGCCACAGCCGTGGTTCTGGTGGATTCAGATTCGGATGAAAGTTGCGTTGAGGTTCAAGGCACGAGGGGTACCAAATTGGAGGCGGTTGCGCAGGACCATGTTTTTAGAAGGCATGATCAACGGGTGCTTGACAAGGCATTGTCAGAGCTCGTGGGTTTGTTTCCGAACTCATGCATGGAAGCAGCTGCTGCGGATCTATCAGCACAGTTGAAGCGAACCTCGCCAGAGATGGCTTTGAAGAGGGTCATCAACAGTTACAAAGAGCATGGTGTGCCGGGGCCAGATAGCGTAGCACAAAGTGAACGAAAATCTGGTATGACGAGTTCTAGGTGTTGGAGTGAGACCGTGTTAGATTAAACGGTTGGACCTGAAATGAAGGACCTGTTTGTCACTTCTGTGGAGTCCAGTCGTCATGCTCATGGCATTTCGCTTTGTACGGGACATGCTTACTCTGTGGACGGAATTTTTCACATGTCGCGCACACAGTGAGGAAAAAAGGCGGTGTACACTGTGAGGTGGACTTTCATCACACACGCTCTGTCTCGGCATTATATTAAACCATGGATAGCGCAGTTGGACGTGGCAGGATTGCAAGACGAGGGGAGCGCTTAGGACAGCCTCAGCTGGGAGTACGAGCTGGTGAAGCGCATCGAAGTCATGAGCCTCACCTCCCCTGCGCTTGTATTGAGCGAGAGAGGGAGTCTGTTCTGAATGTTTTGAAGGACGGTGCGCGAAATGCCACTGGTGCATTGAATGCGGACGTGGAACTTGAGAAGGGGACCCACAAGGACGCCGACGAGAGCGATGTATCCGGGAACATCGAGTGTGGGTGTTGCTTTTCAGAATATAGATTCGAGGAAATGGTTCAGGTGAATGTGCTTCGCAAGCCCTGTCCACGGTGCATACCTGGCACATTGTGGTTATGTTTTCTGTGTGTTGTGTGCGATCCAATGTATGGTCGCCTCACGATTCCGACTCCAGGACTGAATTTACGGATATGGAGTATGGTGCAGTGCGCAGAGGGACACCTTTTTTGCTTCACCTGCTTGCGGCGGAGGGTGGAGGAGTCAACTTTTGGAGGATCTCAGGCGTGCAGTTCTCTTGCCTGCATGGATACGAGTGGCTGTGAAGAGTACTTTCCTTGGTCTGAGGTGAGACGAGCTTCACGCAGGAGGAGTTCGGCTCTCTAGAGGGACGCAAATTGGCAGCTTTGGGAAGGGATTGAGAAGGCACATGAGATCATACTGGAAAAACGGATAGCTGTTATGCTAAGTGTGCTTTTTTCTTATTCCCCGAATTGGAATTGACCTACGACACTTGTATGTCTTTCAGGTGAAACGAGCCTTGCCTTCTGATGTGTTCGCCAAGTACGAGCAACGTCAAGCTGAGGACGCAGTCGTGCAGGCGAAACTAACAGGATTGGTGAGTCTGCACCCCCATGTTGCGTCTACCTCCTTGTGAGTTGGTTTGTGTCATTCTGCGTACTGTGTACTTTTTATCACGATCGCTGTTTGTTTGTCTGAAATTTGACATGAGCTGTTGTCAATGGTTATGCACAGGTGTATTGCCCATTTTGTAACATGCCGTGGGAAGTGGATCCAGGCTTGCGAGTCCTGAAGTGTGCGAATGAGCGTTGTCAGAAAGTAAGATGAGAATGGAAATGGGTGGACCCACTCGGAATGAGATGTTATCTTTGTCTTCTTGAATGGCGTCACTCGGAAAATATACCATCAGGTTCAGTGATGGTGAAGGGGTGCAATTGCACAGCTAGAAAAGGTGGAAGTTTACGGTTTGCAAATAAGTATTATCTGTAACGGCTCGCATTTCGTTGTGAAGCAGGCATCATGCGTCAATTGCAGAGAGCCTAGCCACATTCCATTACGGTGTGAAGAAGTTGAAAGGGTATGTGGACGGACAACGTCTTTAGAGGTTTGAAGTTGGTTGTGGCGATTGAGGTCGAAGGAGATGTTGAGAAAGTCGTGACTTTCTGCGAGGATTGTCATTCTTTAGAATCAGATGTAGAGACCCGATGAATGTTGAATAGTGTGTGAAAGATGCTTGGGTGGCTGTTGTGATGGGTAATTTTCACTGCATGATTTTAGCATCTGGATGTATCATTGGTGTTGGTACCAAGGGCTCGCGAGCTTGTGTGAGTGTGTTTTTCTCCTCACCGACGCAGTGCAAAGACTGCGGTGTTCCAGATGTTTGGACGTTGGTGATGAGAAATGGAGTATTGACGAGTGGTTTTTTCTGGGTGCAAAACAATGCAGGACTCTGAGACGTCGTTGAGGAGGACCATAGAAGAGGTGACTAGATTTTGACTCGCTTGGATGTCTTCGTGACTCGTAGATTCCCTGAAAGTATCATGGTGCTTGGGAGCGCGGATAGTGTACATGAGGAAAGTATGTGAACTATTTTGAGGCGGGGCATACAAGGGAAGTAATTACCATCGTCTGCACGAATGGAGGTGTTAACCCAGTGACTTTGTGTGTGACCGGTGCTGCAGCGTATGACGGAAGCCCTGATACGAGAATGCTCGGCCTGCAAAGCTGCGTTGTTGAAAAGCGGCGGCTGCAACAAGGTGCGTGAAAGTTAAGCGAGACGTGGGTGTGTTATTAATGATGGATAAGTCAGAGAAGCTTCTGAAAGTATTTAGGTTTCTGGAATATGTAAGTGTTGAAGGTGGTTATGTTTGATTTTCTTTGCTATTCTTCTGATGTGAAATTTGAACAAGTAGAGTTATCAGCATTCCACTCTAGTATCATGAAGAGTTCTTTGGGTTTTTAAGTCTATTTGTTACTTTCACTATTGGCTCTTTATGTTCATTGACGGAGGTACTTGTGTGTAGTTTATTTTTTAGGTTACATGTAGGTGTGGCCAAACCATGTGCTATTTGTGCCGGCAGCCCATTTCTCCCAATTATTCACACTTCTGCCAAGTACTTTCTCAACGTATTTATTTTTCGTCTTCTTTTGTGTGTGATTTGTTCTTTTTTGCTGCGCTGTGGTGGGTTTTTAGACTTGACTTGTCTTGGCTTGACTTGATTGCTTGTCTCTCGCTTACTTGAAACGTTTCTTTGCTAGCAAATTCTTGGTTTTTTGTATGCTTCTCAATAAGAGCCTTAAGTTCTTTTGAAGGTACATGCAGGGATGTGAAAGGGGGTTTAGTTGCAGGTTGCTTGAATTATATTGACTTCATTGTTTTGGAAGCGTGTCAGCATGTACTTTATTTCAGGTGCAAATAATTTCGTGGATTTGGTTGTAGCATGCAGGGGCTCGTAAAGGTGACTGCAACATCTGTAAGAAATGTAGTCTCTGGGAAATGGTGCGCAAAGAGGATCGTACCTTTCAGACCTTTGACATTCTATTGTGTGTGTGTGCTTACTGGATGCTATTTGCCATTCGTGTTAGGAATAGTAACAAATTCATACCAGGTTTTCAACAAATTCAGTGTTTTCTTTAAGAGTTACTATATATTTGTGGATTTCTCCATGCCAATGGGTATTGATCCGTGTTGCTTTACAGGAAGAAGAGGATGAGATTGTAAAATCAGCGAGAGAGGCAGCAATGAATGAGTTGATACTGAATGATCAGAACCTCCTCAAGCGGACGATAGGTCCAACACTGGAAAATGCACATCAGAAGAAACACAGGCCTCCACCTCGACCTCCTGCTGGTCTGTTTCGACCTCCACCTCCAGAGCACTACAACCGAGTGGCCCAAGCCATGGTTCATGTATCAGTCGCAGAACAGAAAACATAGATCGACCAGTTTTACGTTCCCAAGCACCTACTGATTTGATAATTGATGTGGAGGTTAGATCTTGCGCATACTTTGTGCTTACGTATGGGGATTTAGATCAATCGTAGAGTGTTAAACCAGTAATTGCAATGTATATAAGTCGGGTTTTCAAAAGTACATGAACCTTAGATGTCATTTTCTTACTGTGAATGCATTCCATGCAGTCAACCATTGATAAATGCATATTTTGTGAACGTTTTACATTGTGAAATTGTAAAATTTCAACATTCTTGGACTTTGGAGACGAGAGAAATTAGAAATGTTGACTTTGTTATGCTACAAGTGATACTAATTCAAAGTTGAAATTTGAATTGTGATAATTTGGAATTTGTATCAAAGGTGTTGGTCTATAAATTAAATTTTTATGTATTAAAACATTGACTATTTTAAATTTCTATCATAACATTATATATGAAAATGAATTTCAGTTAAATTTTATTGTTTTTTGAATTCGAACTAATAGAGAGCATGTATCTTGTTATTTTTTATCAACCACTTTTGAAATCTAAGTCAAATTTTAGAGCAGTTTGTATCTATCATTCAACAAATTAGTTGGTATGTCATTATAAAACCAATTAATTTGTTGAATTAGTTGGTGTACCATTATAAGTTTTATTTTATTGGAAGTCTATTTGACTTCAATCTTAATTCCTTCAAGGTTATAGATTGATTCTTAGTTTTCTTCAAATACACAAAATCATTCCTATATTGTAGCTCAATTGTCTTAAATATTGTTCTTACTTAATTTTATTGAGATTTTTTTTTTTGAAAAATATGTTTCACATTCAATTAAAATTTAGACATTTAATTTTTTTTTAATTTTATTCTTGTTAATTTTTAATTATCTTCTTTAATATTTAAAAAAAAAAATCCTAATGGTGATTCTAAAAATTGTTCTAAAACTACATTGAAACTAATTTAGAAACTTAGAAGTTTGCCAAATAAAAATAGTAGTTATTTCTTTATTCAAACCTTCTATTTTTAAAAAAATATATAAAAAAATTATAACCAATAATTTTTTTGAAAATCCGAATAATTTATTTTAGATGTCTTTTGATTTTTTTTGAATTTATTTAATTTATTTCAATTTAATATATTTTTATTTATACTATATTAAAAAAAATATTTTTTTTTATTTTTTATTCTAAAATCTGTAATAACTAAATCCGCTCAACCATGTGCTCTTAATTGAGCTTCATCAATTAAAATAATGTCTTTTGCTAATGTAATAAAAGAAATTGACATTGTCTTGCATTAGAGTAGAGTAAGGTAGCACTTCTTGAGCTTCTTGAAATGTTTAATGGCTACCTTTTTAGCCACTAGATTCTTATCCACATACAAATATTTAAATGATCTTCTTTGATATTTGCTTAAAAATCAACTACTAGTCAAGTACCAATGCCACCAAATAATTCCAATAAACAAATGTCTTTCTTAGAAGGGTGCCAAGTTATTAGTATTGTCACCAATGGAGAGGTTTCAAAATATCATATGTGCCCTCAACTCCTTTGAATGATAAAGACCTATTATTCCATACCTTAACTAATGTGTCTTTGGCTTGGTTAGAAACTTTTTTTTAGACTTCTATATTGATGTTGTTTAATGTACTTCAGCCAAATATGTCTTTTTGCCACTAAATTTTGTAAGAATTATAGAAGATGCCAATTTTTTTTTAGAAGCAAACTATTCATCTAATAAGTCATTTATTTTTTACCCTATTGTAGTATATTCTACATGGGACTCTTTTCTTGACGTATAAATTATGTAGGTAGAGTAGTTTGGCATCTATCACCAATTTGCCATCTAAGTCTATATGATGCTATTTCATTTAAAAAATCCAAAGTAAAATCCATAAGATATAATATTCTAATACCTATTAGTATATTATATGACTCAGCATGGGTGACAATAGCTTTAGTCTTAATGGTTGTTACATCCACCATATCATTGAAATATAATTTTATCAATAATAGCCAAATTAAAATTCTAGTGGCTTTTTCTTACCTTTCAATAGATGTATTAATTGTAAAGGAATAAGTCTCCAATGTGCCTTTGTATAAATTCAAAGATTTAAAAATGGCCTTGCCTAACATCAATGATTGAGTTCTAAAGTCCAAATTCCTATGAAGTATGAAGACCCATCTATTAGGTCCTAGAGTTTGCAACAAATCCTATATGCTATCTAGTACTATAATTCCTAGTATAACTAAAGATCTTTCAATGATTAAACTTCATAGCATGGTTTGAACTCAAGTTGTTGTTATATAAAGGCTAGTTTTTTTCAATAATTTATCCATTGATTCATCTTCTCTAAGTGTCTTTGTCTTCATTGCTACAATGAATTGGCATCTATTAGTCCTACATAAAACAACAACTCTCTCTAATACTCCAATTACATCAATTTCTAGTGCCTCAATCATTTAAGCAAAAAATATGGACATCTAACAACTTATTATTGCTATAAATAAAGTTATATCTTCACTTAACAACTTAATATGGTTCTTACAAGGAATTGTTACTTCTTCATTCTTTTGCACTTTATATGATACATTAAAGCTCAAATCTTTCAAGACAAACAATTTTGATAATCTAACTTATTGCAATGCCTCTCCAACTTGTGGATCAAGTGTATTAGTCGTATTCCTTGGTACTTCATGTTGTGCATGTATCTTTTTTGGTTATTGTATAATCTAGCTCACTCCTACCACAAAAAAAAAAAAAAAAAAAAAAAAAAAAAAATTATCCCACGCTTTGTAAAATAACAAAGCATTTTTTTATTTTTAAAATAGTCTTTAGTCTTTATTTCAAGCATAATTGATTCTAAAAAAGCTTTAATTGCCTTCAAATAAGAATCATCTCAAGTCTCATTCTTCTGATTCTCCACTTTTTTGCCAAAAGATTGATCTTTTCATTTTGTAGCCTTATTCTTCTATCTATTGTTATCATTGGCTTCTTCTTTGTATTTTTTCATATTAGTTGGCTTCAACTATGAGTGAAAGGTCTAACATTTAACTGCCAAATGAATTAAAGATCAACATCCTAAGTAACACTTCTCTCTAAGTGGTTTAGATTTTACATTATTTACATCTTGCCATGAACATACATATTTACTTAGATAAGAAATATTAAGTAGAAGATAAATGTAGGTAGATTTGATATTATCTTATGGAAAAACTTCTTAAAAGCTACATAAATATATATTTGACTTAATATATATTTATAGTTGATTGATAGATTAAAAATTTAGCCAATAAGTTAGTCATGTATTGCATGTGTAGATAGCTTGTGGTACAAGATAACAATATGGTGCACATATATGATAGAAGCAAAGATAAGTATGTTAGAGAAGTTTGATAGAATAGGATCAAAATTTTGAAGGTTTTTACAACAAGTGAAGTTCTATCTAAGGTTTCATCTTTCCTAATTTCGTAATGGATTTATTTAAGTTGGATTCATGGATGCACTTTTATTTAGAAATATTCTTTCTTGGTTTATATCTTTGATGGAAAATGATTCACAACTACTCTATAATTTGAATTCATTCTTGGAAGTATTTATGGCCAAATTTGGAGAAAGTAATTAAAAAAAATAACAAAGACGAATCTTTTATCTTTACAAAACATTACATTTAGCTACCATATATGGTACTGAATTCTAAAACCTAACTGCAATGTGGATTGAAATGATAAAGCCTTTATCAATCAATTTTGATATAGGTTGAAAGATAATATCAAGAATTTATTGTTCATGATGCCAAGAACAAAATCATTAGAATAGTTTATTATTTAAGCCATTGCATGCATCAATCAATTCTTTTAAAGATGTTAAGAATAAAGATTTGGTTGGAGAAATACAAGTCAAGTCATGGCAATACCTTCTAAGTTTTTAAAAGCTCATTCATCTAAGCAAGAACCTATGAAAATTAACACAATATATTTTAGATTTCTTACTAAACAAAAAAAATCGACATTATTAAAAAAAAATTGTACCTATGTTGTAAAGAATCTAAGCATATTACTCAATGTTATCCAAAGAAGCAATATAATTACAAAATGAAGAGCATGGTTGCTAAAGAAGACAATGTGTTTAAAAATAAGTTTTTTTTGATTATAATAAAGATAATGTAGTTGGAATATTATGCAACACCTAATAAATATTTTATTCTTTTTTCAAATCTTTCATCTTATTTCATAATAGAAGTTTATTTAGGACCAAAAAATCACAAAAATATTACCTTGTTAGATTCAAGAGCCTTAACTTGTTTTATAAATAAATTTTTTGTCAAAAAATAAGAAATATTTTTACTTAAAAAAATCAAATCTATGCATATAGAAGTCATAGATGGTCATTTGTTGTTCTCTGAAGACGTTATCTAAGAAACAATTCTTTGAGATTTAGCAATTAAAGATTATAATAACTTATTAATATTTAATATTATAAGATCTCTCTTCAATTTAATTATTTTAGGATTATCATAGTTAGAGAAGTATAATCGTTAAATAGATTATATTTATTATAACCTTCATTTTTCTTGTAGTTTAATCTAAGATTCTACTAAACAAATAAAAATCCATAAGTTCAATATATTAAATATTTATTGGTAGGTTTTGAGGAAAAAGATGTCAATATTCTTCCAAAGTATTGTTCATATGACTATTCTATTAATCTTTAAGAAGGAGCTCAATCATTATTTTGACCAATCTATAGCTTATTATAAAATAAATTGGTTGCTCTAAAAGAATATATTGACAAGAACGTGACTAAGAACTTCATGGGCCATTTTAAATCTCTAATAGAAACTTCTATCTTATTTGTGAAGAAAAAAGACATATCTTTGCAGATGTATGTAGATTATAAAGGACTCAATAAGATCATCATTAAGAATGAGTATCCTTTATCTTTGATTTCAAGACTTTTTGATCAATTCAATTAAATAAATATTTATAAAAAAATAGATTTATAAAGAATATATAACCTAATATGTATCAAAGAAAGAAATGAATAAAAACTATACTTCAAATCAAGTATGGGCATTTCAAATATAATATCATGCCTTTTCAATTCACAAATGCATCAGCTGCTCTTCAACATTTAATAAATGATATCTTTTGCGAGTTTCTTAATTATTTTATTATCTATTATTTAGATGATATTTTAATCCATTTTAAGAATACAAAAGAATATAAATATAAAATTTATCTCATATTACAAAAATTGAGAGATATAAAAATATAG